GGGGGGGGGGGGGGGGCAGCACGTGTCCCCTGTGAGGTGAACCCGGGCTCAGCCCGCAGCTGCTCCTTTCTGGAAAGAAAGTATCTGGTGGGAGTGGAATGCCCTGTGGACACTCTATCGCTTCTTTTATCCTCTAAATCAGGGACCAGCCAGGAGGCTGCGGTGGCCTTACAGCCAACTAGGGGCCCTGGCCTCTGGGCACAGGTGCAAAGGTCCTGCCAACTGGCTCCCTTCTTCCAGTCACAGGTCAAAGGGCAGAACTCTGAACATCCACACTCCAAGTGGCCTTCCTGCCCTGCCCAGGGGCGGTCCTGGAGCAGATGCCGTGGTCTGTGTGTCTGGAGCAGTTCTCACTAAAGAGAGACAGAAAGGAAACAGAGGCTCAGAGACTGAAAGACCCGGGAAGAGGAAGACAAACAGCAAAACAGAAACAGAGGTAGGGAGGGGGACAAAATACCAGAAAAAGGAACCACAAGAAGAGAGGCAGAGCTAATGAAGAAAAGTAGAAAATGAACACAAAGAAAGCAGCCTCCACACGGCCCCATGTACACATTCCCCGTGGAGCGGGGTCTTTACAAGGCACGACTTTCACCTGCCATTTGCAGGCATCCACTCGTGACTCCTCCTGGTGCCATGGGCAGCCAAGCGTATCCCAGTAGCTGGACAACTGAGGCCGAGAGGTCCTTGCTCAGAGCTCCCCGCAAGGCAGAGCAGACGGATCGGGCCATCTGGGGACTCCAGCTGGGGTCCCCCTGGGACCCCGTGGCCTACTTGCTGGGCTGGGTGTCACCGAGCTCAAGTTCTTGGTTACCAATGGAGCAGAAAATGCCACCCCAGTCTCTCCTCGCCTACCCCCCCACTCCCTGTCTCCTCTCTTTGATCTGGGTTTGCTGTTCTAGCCTAATGAGTCCGAGTCCAGACAAGAGCAGTATCTCTTTTGCTTTTAGCGGACCTGTGACAAAAAGCCCCCGTTAAAGACACTGTAGCAGCAGAGACTCAGCTGGGAGAATGTATAGGAGGGCAACTTACGGTTTTCTTACCACCAAGGACTCGTTTGAGTGTTTCTTTCTCACTGAATCTTAAATTTTGAAAGCTTGTGATCACCACAGAAACTACTTTGCATACTCCTAGGTCCTTTTCCTCTTTATATTGATCAAGCACATGTAACAACAAAAAATGATTTTAAAAATGACACCACTGACCTGAAATAAAACCCAAAATTAGTAAGTCTGGACAGTAGGTGCACAGTTGTTGACAATATTTCATGTATGTTTGAAATGTTTCCTAGTCAACCATATGGGTGTTTTAAAAACCATATTCAGCTTTATTTTGGGGGCGCCTGGGTGGCTCAGTCAGTTGAGCGTCCCACTTCGGCTCAGGTCATGATCTCGCAGTCTGTGAGTTCGAGCCCCATGTCAGGCTCTGTGCTGACAGCTCAGAGCCTGGAGCCTGCTTCGGATTCTGTGTCTCCCTCTCTCTCTGACCCTCTCCCGCTCATGCTCTGTCTCTCTCTCTCTGTCAAAAATAAATAAACATTAAAAAAATTTAAAAAAAAACATATTCACCTTTATTCTCTAATTGAGATGGCTGTTATCAGATAGCAGGAAAATGTGTAATTATCATAGGTTTTTTTTTTTTAATATTGAAAATACCTCTCTGATCATCACCTTTTTCAAAGAGATATAGGAATCATTACGCCCTCATATGGATCCTAAGAGTCCACTTTCTCCCTGAGGAAAGATGGTCTTCATTTGACCCTTTATCTAAGGAAATTCTGACTTACTGAAACTAAATACATGGGCTGACAAGTCTCTTAACCCTTCTGGACCACAATTTCCTCACTGCATCCATTGAAAGAGTTGAACTAGAGGTGACCAATGAGGTGTCTCTCATTTAAGGCAAGAGCAGAAAGGAGAAAAGGAACAGAGGTGTCAAAAGGCAGGAAGGTTGGAGGCAAATTTGTCAGTGCTCCTCAGACATGCTTCTGATAGCTGTTTCTAAAATGACCATCGGGTGCTTACATTTTTGGTTTTTGTTATGTGGAGAGGTGTGTGTGTGTGTGTGTGTGTGTGTGTGTGTGTGTGTGTGTGTGTGACACACACACAGAGAGGGAGAGAGAGAGAGAGGTGGAGAGAGGGAAAGGAAGGGAAACATACTTCCCTGTTTCTTTATCAAAGATTCAAGGAGGCCAAGGACTTGGGGGATGAGCCAGAGCTTAGGAAACCCACCAGATATTAACCTCCAATATCAGGATGTGTCCGGTTGTGAAATGGGAAGCGGGGCTTCTGGGCCCCAACCCAAGGGTGCTTCATTCCTCAGCCGGGCTACAGAAGGTTGCTCTCACTTTCTCATCACAGCTTCCATCTGCTATCCTGGGGACAGCTGCCTGGAAAATGAGAACCCCATTAACATTTCAGAGCTGCTTTTCTTGGTGGCTCTGACTCCACAGATGACATAACCAGGGGCCTGTGCTCCAAACCACCAGACAATTCACTCTCCAGTCCTGCTACTGCTGCTGAGCTGGCCTTAAGGAGACCAAGAGTGAGAAGCAGATGCTACAGAAGCTTCCAGGGCTAGGAAGGAAAGCAAGGCAGGAAGGAGGAAGCTGGGGCCTACAGGGCATGGAATCCCAAATTGTTTGGGATTCGAAAACAAGGAAGTTTTCGACTTCCTTGTACACACATATGTGTATGTATAGGTGATACTTTAAAACGCTTACAGTGATTCATCCATTCAACCAGCCTGTGTTGAATGCCTACTGTGTGCCAGATTCTGTGATGGGCTCTAGGGATGCAAAGATCTTTGACACATGTTTTTGCTTTTCAAGAACTCTCAGCCTGGTGGAGGAAATAAGCCTATTTAAAAAAAAATAAGCAGAAGAAAGAAAGAAAGAAAGAAAGAAAGAAAGAAAGAAAGAATAACAGTACAAAATGCAACAAAAAAGCAAATATGCACCCAACTTGGAGTGCATGGGTGGCTCAGTCAGTTGAGTGTCCAACTCTTAATTTCGGCTCCAGTCATGATCTTATGGTTTGTGAGATCAAGTCCCGCGTCGGGCTCTGCACTGACAGCACGGAGCCTTCTTGGGATTCTCGCTCTCAAAATAAATTTTAAAACATTAAAAAAAAAAAAAAGCTATATCAAGTCTGTGACGGAATCAGAAAGGCAAGCACCCAACTCAGATTAGGGTATGCAAAATGGTAAGAGGGTCAGGAGAAGGACTTTCTGAGAAAGCAACACCAAAGCTATGTCTTAATGGATGAGGAGCTAACAAGGCTGGGCAGGACAATATATAAACCATTTTGTCTTCAGATTCTAGGGGATGACAGTCATCATGGTTATGGAACTCTGCAGTCACATCTGCAGTCGTCATTAACCTGGCAAGACCCTGCTATGCACCTTCGAGATCTCTCAAATATGTTTGTTGCTTGATTTGCGATGAACTCTAATGTAGAAGCCAGAAGTCTGGAAAAGGGGAAGGAATGTCCTGTGGGAAAGACAAGAGTCTGCTTATAATGCCACCAAAAACAAACCTGCCCAAGGACTCTCCCTTTCCCATGCCCACCTGTGCATACTTCCTTAACCCTTTAAGTGCAAATGCCACTTCTTGAAGCCTTTCCCCGTTCCTGCTATGGGACGTGGTCTCTCTTTTCTGAAGGCCCAGGAGTATCATCGCTGCTTCTGTGATATCTAGTGCGTCCAACCTTGGATCACAGCTTCAGAGATGCGTCTGAGTCTCAGAACTCACAGATGGGAGGGAGGGAAGGAGGAGCCCCCAGAGGTACCACCCCCAGGGTCTCAGGGAAGATCTGGCAGAAGGTGGAATCTGCCAGAAGCCCAGAAGTCTCTGTGTCTCTGGCCTCTCTCACTCCCCACTCCCCATACCAGACAGCAGTCCACTCTCAGCTAGCCTCAGTTCCCCAAACCAATCTGCTAGGTCATTCTTCCCTGCTGTTGTGGTGTTTCCTGGGTTGGAATGCCCTCCCCACACCTTGTTCACCCACCAACACCTACCCAAGAATTGCCTGCTCCTTTAGCCCGTCTCAGCCCTTCCCTCTATGCCCCACCCCACCCCCATCCAGGTGAGCTCTATGGCTTTTTTCAGTTTCACTGTGGCCTCAACATATTTGTCACCACACCCTCCACACCGTGTGCTTCCTTGAACACAGTCTGCAGAGTGGTAAGCCCCTTGAAGTCAGAAGCTGTGTGTTATTTGCTTCAGGGACCCCGGTACCTAACGAATGGACAAATGAATGAATTTGTATTTTTCCCTGGCCTTCCTTAGGGCCAGAAAATGTCTTATTCATCTTTGTGACCCCAGCCCAGCACCCTCCACAGGGTGGCCTCACAATAAATGTCTGTTGTTGAATGAATGAATCGAGTTGTTCACACTCATGCTTTAACATACCAACCCACAACGTTGTAATACTCAGTCGATTCTTTTTAAATGGCCTATAAAAATGAAATGTATTTTAAATATTTGTCAAAAGAATCCAACTTTGTCCCTAGTTTTCAGTCCTCAAACCTTCAGTAATAATGCCTTGTCCAAACGCTTTATGTCTCTCAGAGGACGAAGCTACTTGTGGACCAGTCCACTGAGGGTCTTAGGAGCGCACCCCAGGTACCCCCCTATGCTGCATAGGTGTATTCCTCCTCTTCCCATTTCCTGTCCCTCCCAGCAGCAGGAAGGGGTCAGGGCACGGTGTACACACACGTACTAACAGGTCAACAGACAATCAAATGACAGGAAAGGGTGTTAATTCATAGTCATTTTCTGTTTGTCCCTGTGACCCCTCTCCCCCATATTATACACGTTCCATGAACCTGCCTCGTGACTCTGAGGTCAGTGTGAGCGAAAAAGGGTAAGCTGTGCCTATACTACTGTATGCAGGGGTCCTGAGGTCACTGACTAGTCTGTGGCTCACCCCCCTGCCTCAACTCTTTCTGAACCTACCAGCTGCAGCCAAGCCTGGACTCCGTGTCCACCCGGGACATGGGGACATGGGGCTGAGACCAGAGACTCCCTCTCTGTTTTATGGAAGGAATAACTGTTACCTCTCTTACTCCTCCACCCCTTTCCCCTTCTTTGTTGCCCCAGATCCCCCCACCATTTCCTTACCTCTCTCTGTTTCTCTCTCTCCTCAGGCCAGGAGGGACAAGAGTAACCCCATGCTGATCAGAAGCAAGCAGCTATGCTCCACATGTCAAGAAATAAAAATGGTAGGTCAGTGGGATGACAGAAGGAGCTGGGGCATCCCAGGGCACAGCAATACCCCTTCCCCACCAGAGCCCAGTGATGCGAGACCATGCTTTTTGCAGGGAAGGCCTTGATAAGGGCTGCAAATAAGTACCTGTTGGCCCTGGGGGTACTATTACCTGACACGATATGATAAACCCTCCCCATTTGCAACAAACCAAAAGATAAATTAAGGCAGATGAGTCAGAGGGAAAGAGATGAGTTGAGTCACTTTACTTTGAGATCCTAAGGTAATCTCACACCTATAGTGGTTCAGGAGATTATGGAACTTCTCCCCCCTCAAATTTCCCCAACACAACACAACATAACACAACACAACACACACACATACACAATCTGCCTCTACCATTACAGTCATGAAAGAAGCAGCTTAATCTTTGGGTCTATCAGTTCAACCAGCACCTCAGCATAAAGGCTAAGGAGAGATTCTATAGTAGTTTCTAGCTAGTGGGAGGTGTCTGTAACTGGGGATGCAGAATGGTGGGGAATGAAGGAGTATTAAGAAAAGAAAGAGGAGGGGCGCCTGGGTGGCTCAGTCCATTAAGCATCTGACTCTTGATTTCGGCTCAGGTCATGATCTCATGGTGCATGAGTTCCAGCCCTGAGTCAGGCTAACACGCTGACAGTGCAGATCCTGCTTGGGATTCTCCCTCTCCCTCTCTCTCTGCCCCTCCCCCCCAACAAAAATAAACTTAAAAAATCTTTTTAATTAAAAAGAAAAGAAAGAGGACAGCAAGGGGAAATGGAGGACACAGGACAAAGCCCTACCATCTGTCAGATCTGCCACAGAAAGAGGCCCGTGTCCGCACCGTGTCCACACGGATGCCATACAGGTCAGAGTTAGGACTTGGGTCTGTTTGAGGGTTAGGGTTAGGGCCAGTCCGGCTTGGGTCAAAGGTTAATTTTACTAAATGGTTAGGTTTAGGGTAGGAGTTGAGCAGGGTCTCAACAATTCTGATATCCGATGATTCTCCTTTGACTCTGGGCTGATGTGCAACAAGAGGAAGGGCCAGGAAGTGGAAGACAAACAGGTGACAGGTGACAGGCTCCTTCGACATGTTAATGGCGAAAGTGCTTTGACTACTGGGATATGAAAGAGACCGGCAGTTTTGTGAAACTTTTGTGTGGGATTCGGAAATGTAACTGAGCTACCAACAGAAGTGTATCTGAATGTTACAATCTGTGTTCATGTTCTACTTCATGAGGATCACAGTGTTCAATGCTAGCACTATCAGAATCTGGGAGACTGGGATTGGGACTTCTCCTGGTTTTATTCCTGGAATCACTGTGTCCACATTTAGAATGCACTGACCCTGGGGCCCCAGCCGGCTTGGCCAGCTGGCTCACTTGGAACTTCGGCACTGTTCTCTTTCTCAAGACCTCTTTGACCTGTGCCCTTGCCCGGACCTGACTGGAGTAGAACCAAATGCTGTGGTTTTACCGTTTGCTGCAGATCCCCAAAAGAAGGACCTCAAACACGAAAGTCAGAACCAGTGCATGCACATCTGGTGGGAAACTATAGAAAGTTAGAAAATGAGCATGAAATATCCCTGCTTCACTATGTGCAATAGAGCCTCAACCTCCTCCTGGGGTTGGGGGTACTGCATAGCTGCTGGACTCACTGAGACCCCCACCCTCCTTTCTCAGGAGGGGGTTGGAAGTAGTTGCTGGGGTAGATAGAGAAACGGTCCTAGAAATAGAAGCAACTTCCTTGACCTGATAAAGTGTGTCTCTGGAAGCCACAGCTAACGTCATACTCCATGAAGAAAGACTGGGTAGTTTCCCCTGAGATCAGGAACAAGACCAGGATGTCCGCTCTTGCTACTTCTGTTTAACGTGTATTGCATGTTCCAGTTAAGGCAGTTAAGACAAGAAAAAAAAATAAAATAAAAGGCAACCAGACTAGAAAGGAAGGCATAAAACTGTCTTTGCAAATGACATAATTTTATATACATAAAGTCCTAAGGGACCCACAAAAAACAATTAAAACTAATACATGAGTATAGCAGAGTTACAGGATACAAGATAGTATACAAAAATCAATTCTATTTCTATATATTAGCAATGAACAATTCAAAAATGAAATTAAGAAAACAATTCCATTTACAATAGCATCACAAAATTAAAATACTTAGGAATAAATTTAACAAAATAAATGCAAGACTTGTCCATCAGAAGCTATAAAATATCATATAAATAAATTTTAAAAGACCTAAACAAATGGAAAAAAAACATAATTACAGATTGGAATGCTTGGCATTGTTAAGCTGGCAATACTCCCAAATTGGTCTACACGTTCAGTCCAATCGTTCTCAAAATCTCATATGAGTTTTTTGAAGAAACCAACAAGCAGATCTTAAAATTCATATGGAAATGCAATAGATGCAGTATAATTAAGACAATCTTGAAAAAGAAGAACAAAGTTACAGGACTCACACTTCCTGATTTCAAAACTTACTATAAAGCTACAGTAATCAGGACTTTGTGGTACTGGCCTAAGGATAAACATATAGATCAGGGGGACAGAATTGAGAGTCCAGAAATAGAACCTTACATTTTTGAACAGTTAAAAAAATTAACGAGAAAAAATCAAATTTAATTACATACATCCGGAGTCTCCATAAGAATTAGAATAAGAGGTCCCAAACAGCTAATTTTTAACAAAGGTGTCAAGACAATTTAATATAAATGTAATTTACGTTTACATAAATTAATGTAAATGGTACCTAGACAACTGTATATTCACATGCACAACAGTGAAGCTGTGCCCTTCCTCACATCATATACAAAAAATAACTACAAATGGATCAAAGACCTAATTGTAAGTGCTGGAACATAAAACTTCTAGAGGAAAACAGGTGTAAATCTTCATGACCTTGAATAAGGCAATGGTTTCTTAGATATGTTACCAAAAGCACAAATAACAACAAAAATACATAAATTCAACTTCATCAAGCTTAAAAACTTTTTTGCTGCAAAGAACACCATGAAGGACATGAAAACACAATGCACAGAATGGGAAAAAAAAGAATCCAAAATATACCCCAAAAAACCCTATTTACAACTCAACAATAAAAAACAAACATCCCGATTTCAAATTGGACAAGAAATTTCAAAAAACATTTCTCCAAAGAAGATATATAAATGGCCAATGAACACATGAAAAGATCCATAGCATCATTAGCCTTTAGGAAGATGCAATCAAAACCATAATGAGATATTATTTTATATCCACAAGAACAGCTGTAATAAAAAAGTGGACAACAGCAAGTGTTGACAAGGATATGGAGAAACTGGGACCCCCACACATGGCGGGAATGTAAAACAATGCAGCTGCTTTAGGAAACAGTTTGGCAATTCCTCAAACTGTAGAGTCACCATATGACCCACCAATTCCATACTAGATATATACACAAGAGAACTGACAACATATGTCCATACACAAATTTGTACAAGGATGTTCATAGCAGCGTTACTCATAATAGCCAAAAAATGAAAATACCTCAACGGTCTATCAACTGATAAATGCGTAAACAAAATGTGATTCAATCCATACAATGGAATATTATTCAGCCATCAAAAGAAAGTACTTCTATATGCTACAACCTGGATAAAGCTTGAAAACATTCGTTATGTACAAGAAACCAGGCAGTAAAGGCCACGTGTTATATTAATTTCATTATATGAAATGTCCAGCATTGGCAAATCTATAGAAATAGAAAACGGGTAATGGTTGCCAAAGACTTGAAGAATGAGTGCTAATGAGGACAGAGTTTCTGGGCTGATGAAAATCTTCTGGAAGTAGATAGTGGCAATGGTTGTCCGACTTTGTGACACTACTAAAAACTACTGAGTTGTACGCTGAGATGGTGAATCTTATGGTGTCTGGATTTACAAAAAGATGAGCACTAGAAAAATATTTAAAAAAATAAAAGCATAAAGTGGATGAATACCGAAAACAGAAAAATCCTAAACAGGACCTGGCATGTATAAACTACTAATATACCTGCATGAGTACCCCACACCAGGAGCTCAACTATTTAGTGTGGAAGTAACGCCTACTGAAAGTTATGGTTGTGAGTCACCAGGGGTATCCGCCTAACTTTTATATAAACTGTCTCTTGCCACTTCTCTGCTCCAAACAGCTGAGCTTCCCCTTAAAACATCTATTTTGTAGTCCTTCTGTTATCTGCGTTGTTCTCTAATACACGCTTTCAAGCCCCTTCAAAGTAGGATGTCAAGGTGAACATACTGTAGGAAGTTAGAGGCATTCTCTAACATATGTAAATTAACTGGTTTCAAAAGTCTATGTAATTCAGTTCATTGAAACAAATATGTATTGATTGCTTACCATGGGCCAGGTGCTTAGGCTATGAAGGCAAAATAAGTAAATAAAAGAATAAAACATAAGCCTTGCCTTTAAGGAGCCAACAGATAAACAAATAATGACAATAAAATGATGAATAGAAACAGAAATGGACCCGGTGGGCCGAGCATGGAAAGTGGATATCCAGGAAGTCTTCCAAGAAGAAGACCATGCAGGGTTTTCAAGACTGAATAGGAGTTGACCACATGATGCACTTCTTCTCAGGGACAAAATGGTAGCTTTGTTCTGGGGGAGCCCCTGTAGCCCACTCATGCATACAGTAGTACTAGCTGGATTTAGGGGCTTTTGAAAAGGGGTCATGCTAATCAGGAGAAGGTAGAGAGTTTCCTCCATATTTCTTTGGAACGGAGCCAACTTCAGAAGAAACTTGGAAAAAAGCAGTGTGTCTCCTTCATTCTCATCCCTTCTATGTATCTAGAAACCTCTTCTCAGGTTCTCACCGAAGTCTTTGCTGCCCTCACCACTCCCAGATGCTCCGGTTACCGGATCATTCCTTCTTCCCCCTCCCCTCACTTTCCCTCAACTAAAGAGTTACAACAATCTGCTTAAATACAGTAGGTGCTTGGCATTTCTATAGATTTAATATTCAGATTTTTCTCTATTTGCAAGCACTTCTGAAGGTCCTTAATTTGCAGTTTTGTTGTGTCATAAGTTTATTTTTTTAGTTTTGAGAGAGAGAACGAACACAAGCAGGGGAGGTGCAGAGAGAGAGGGAGACACAAAACTGAAGCAGGCTCCAGGCTCTGGGCTGTCAGCACAGAGCCGGACATGGGGCTTGAACTCACAGACCTTGAGATCATGACCTGAGCTGAAGTTGGATGCTTAACCACTTTACCACTTAACCGCTTAACTGACTGAGCCACCAGGCACCCTTGCTCTGTCATGAATTTAAATCGCAAGTCACTCAATGAGTAGCCCAGCTGAACATCTGCACTCACATTTTGTTACTGTCTTTTCATTGTCATGGCTACAATACCTTTTGAGAAATAATGGGGGGAATATGATTCTCAGTGAAAGCCTGAGCCCCAAAAGAAAACCAATGTCTAGTGCTAGTAACAAACCTGGAAAAGTTCAAGAAAATAATGTCTTAATCGGGAATACTGTAACCGTATAATTTACTTTAGTCCTATGTGAAGGACACACTTAAAACTTTCCAGTGTGCTTCAAAAGGGGTTCATTCATTTCACAAATTTGATCAACAAATACTTCTTAAACAGTCACTGTGTTAGAACCTGGAAGTACAAAAACAGAGACATGTGGTGAGGCTGAAAGTCTATGAGGGAAACCAGACATCAAGCAAGTAAATACAATAAAAACCTTAGGAATATTCTGATAGAGGAAGCCTAGGGAACAGTGAGAATGGAAGGCAGAGGACTACCTAACAGTGGTCCGGGAGTCAGTGGTGTCTGAGAGGGGCTGACAGGTGCTCTGAGACCTGAAGGATATTGGAGGTGAGCTCCACGAAGAGAATGGGAGGGTTTACCAATCTTGAGGTTTCTAACTTTAAAAGCTGATAACCTGGGAAGAGCATAGACCTTATGAGTTGTGGGTAGGTGATCCCCTCTGGTTCATTCATGTCACAAAAGAATATGTGAATGATTCTAATACTAGATACAACTTGAGTTCGCTAAGGTGGTGCATTATTTATTTAAATTGGAATAGAGGTTGGGGCACTGCTCTAAATGAGATTTTCTTCCTCAGGTACAACCAAGAACTTTGATAATCCCTCATAATCTGAAGCTATCCTTTGAGAATTTAATGAGTCATAGGTAAGTCTAAGATTTCAATCTGGACATCATTTTATCAACGTTTATTTATTTTTGGGACAGAGAGAGACAGAGCATGAATGGGGGAGGGGCAGAGAGAGAGGGAGACACAGAATCGGAAACAGGCTCCAGGCTCTGAGCCATCAGCCCAGAGTCCGACGCAGGGCTCGAACTCACGGACCGCGAGATCGTGACCTGGCTGAAGTCGGACGCTTAACCGACTGCGCCACCCAGGCGCCCCTGGACATCATTTTAATTCTTATTACATCAGTTTGGGGACACAGGACAGTGGATTGAGAAACATAGGAAGTAGAATGTTCAGGGAATGCTTAGAGAATAGGCTTCTTGACTGGTTTCATTTCCTGTTTAAACAAGATAGTTAGACCAAAATCGTTGTTTTCATCCTTTTGCTTGAACAACTATTGAAATTATGGTAGAAAGTATAATCTGCCTTTCCACCTCCCCAAGAACAGTACGAGGGGGAGGAAAGAAGATTCCTTTGGTAACTCAGGCAGAACTGAGTACACATTCTCCATGCACATGACTTCTGTGTTGAGAAGATATGGGAGATCCCACATAATCTGTTCTCAGTCCAGGACATCCTCTGCTACTTTTTACTAAAAAAAAAAAAAAAAAAAAAAAAAATTGCTGTCATCAGTTTGTGTGGTGGTCATTTGCTGCTTTCTTAACAAGGTCAAGTACATAAAAAATAAAATCCAGTCAGATTTTTGATGAGTTGGATTTCAGGGTGTTTTTTTTTTTTCTTCTGTATTCAGCTCTCAGAAAGGGAAGAAAGACTCCGTTTTTACTTCATTAAAAAACTCAAACTGCAAACTCATCCTGGATAAGGCACCAATATAGGTAGACTTGCTTTACAGTCATAGTCAGATTTAATGTGACCAATCAAAAAAGTTATATGTGATCTAATGACAATCTTCAACTTTTTTCCCCCATATAGAAGGAAATAATATGGGAAAACAAATAGTTGTGGGTTTTTTTGGTTTTTTTGTTTGTTTGTTTTTGGTAACCTACTGTTTATGTTGGACAGCAGTAGATGCTATGATTCTTTTTATGAAATTCACTCCAAGCTGAGATGTGGACTCAGAGGCATGAAGCCCATGTCCTGGGTGCCTGGCCCCAAGAGATAGGGTCAGGGAGGAAGTGGGTAGTGTATTTGAACTCGACAGGCTCCAGCACTGATAACATTGACCTACACTGACTGTATACTTTTAAAAGGCTCCTGTGACACCATAATAAAAGGAATTCGACTAAATATTATTTATCAACTTTAAATGGAAAACTGAAATATCTAAAGTCTGAGATTTCTGAGCAAAAGTTTCACGCTCCAATGAAAGCATTTTTGAAATTTGTTGCCCCAGTTTATTTATCTTGCAAGTTTGGTATTTTAAATAAAGTCCCAAATTCCAGAATCATTAGTTGATTTTAAACAATTAGCTGATTTATTCTTTTTGAGCTAGACTAAGGGTTGAGCCAACCCTAAAATCATGTCAACACTAACCTGAAGTATCATTAGGTTCGTCATTTTTTTTTCAATGTATTGAAGGAAAACAGACCACTTCTGTTTGAGATTTAGCTAGTGTGACTATAAAGTAAGATCCTGGTTCTGTCTGCAGCTTATTAAATTGGTCCTCACAGTTTATGAGTCTCAGGTAGAATTGTACTTACTGAAAAAATAGTTTTTAAAAAGTGACTTTAGGGTGCCTGGGTGGCTCAGTTGTTAAGCATCTGACTTTGGCTCAGGCCATGATCTCACAGTTCATGAGTTCAAGTCCCACATGGGATGAGCTTGAGTCCTGCTTTGAGTGAGCCCCGCTTCTCTCTCTCTCTCTTTCATTCCCAAAAAAAAAAGTGACTTAAATTGTAACCATTGTAAAAATTAAAGGATGTGTGTAAAATGGAAGGAATGAAGGAAAGGAATGCAAGAAAGAAGGAAGAGAGGGAAAAAGAAAGACAGACAGGAAATATTAGTGGAGGGATATATATTTGTTGAATTATAGTGCAAACAAACCTTAAATTATTCAGTCTGACAAATACCACCTTCTGGTTTGCTCAACATGGATGATAGAAGGGATTTTTTTTTCTTAGTCCCACTGAATCCTCCAATGACAGTTGAGTAAAATAAACTGGCCAGATGGGCCATATTTTTGGTAACAAAGTAAAAATAATCTTGGAAAATCTTTGTAGAAATAGAAACCATGAAATGAGTGTAGACACTTAGATATCCCATCAAAGTTTACAGATTTGTCAGCCTTTAGAAATTAAGCAATTTAATATAGAAATGGTTTGGGCTCATATGCGTTTTGGTCGAGGGTCACTTCCACAGCCTTAGCTGCCGGGAGAAATAGGATGTGGTGAAGACATTTTCTCTAAAATTGGAGGGTGAAATAGGGGAGGAGGATTAAAGAATGCATTTGTTGTGATGAGCACCAGGTGATTAAAATAAGAACTTTAAAAAAAACCTAAAAAAACTGTAAAAATCTGTATAAAATTTTACTTAATCGAAGTTGGATTAACAACAAAGTGTTTCCAAATGGTTTCTGTTTTGCTTTAGTAACACTCAAAAGTAGAGAAATGAGTCAAACAGAATTATATTGATGGGAATAAAAAGGGATTTTTAAAGCAAAAATACATGAAATGAAATGAAATGAAATGAAATGAAATGAAATGAAATGAAATGAGATGAGATGAAATGAGATGAAATGAAATGAAATACAAAGGTTCTAACCAAAATATTCTGCTTTGCACTTGGAGGGTAGATTACTGATCTGGAAGAGTTGTTATGTTTTTCTGGACACTGGAGGATTCTTGGTTCCTTCTGTTTTTAGACCATACATGTTCTGACAGTGAATAAGATATTTTTTCAATGAAGTTTTTATCAAAATCCATAAAGCAAGAAGAACCTGAGATGCAGCAGCCTCTGGTCCAGTCATCTCGCACTGCAGCCAAGCGGTCTAAGCGCCAGGTTAACAGGTGCCAGACTCAAGACACCATCTGTGTTTTAAAATGTATAAAGGTACATTCCTTTCCACCGAGCTTTGGTCACATAACTAATGTGTTTTCTTGCTTCTTCCAAACAGAATGATGAGTCTTCCTCCACCAAAAGCCAAGACTGAATCCAAACATTCCTGTAATGACATCTCAACAGGTTTGCATTTTTAGAGTACTTGTATTGGGGGACATACAACCCCCACAGTAGTAGGATGAAAAGTTTAATCCCTAAAATAGGTTCTAAATTATCTGAACACGTTCCCACTGTCTGCCCCTTTCTCTTTTCACATGCTGCTTATGGCCTGTTTCACATGCTGCTTATGGCCTTGACATGCTCCCTTCACACCAGCCCACCTGTCCCCTCCCCAGGCTTCACTGGCCTTTATCTGTGCCATTTTCCTTCCTGGGTCCTCTCCATGCCATACGGCCCCGCCTCATTCTTTCTAAAGAGCCCCATAATCTACTTGCTGAAGAATCTTCATGGAAATGGGGCACAAAGTAGATCATCCCATCTCAGGCAGTCCTAACAGTACCAGTTAACGTGGGGAAGGAGTTGCATGCCCACAACCCTGGAATGGCCTCGCCGAAGGCCTGAACCTTCCACCCCACAGGTTCCTAAACCACCTGCTTCTCCTGGCAGCAGCCCTGCGTTATTCTTATGTCCACTTGCTATTAATAGAAAAAAAGGATACCATCTAACTCCAGCTTCAGTGTTGACCTGTGTCTCATCTTCTAGAGAAGCCAACACTGGGTTGGTGAAGGTGGGTGTGGGTCATTCCTTGGGGTGGTGCAACTCAGGGGTTTGGTACAGCATAGGCTATCATTTTAGCGGCTTTATCCATCGTCTCACATGCTCCCGTATTAACTGAAGCCACCTCCAATTTTTCTTTCATTTGATACTCACAGTAAGGCAAATCAGGGTCACTTTCTATGCTTACTCAAATGGAAAAGTCTGAGCTCCATCTTGGGAGGCTTCAGGGGCACTAGAGCCAGAACTGTCTGAGAAGGCATCCAGAGACGAAATGTGAAGATAGAAGGGGTATCCTGCTGGGATGGTAAATGGTAAACAGCTGAGGTTTGGAGACATTCATGTGAGTGCAGCCAAAGGCTGCCAAGTCCCAGTGAACCCCTTCTTAGGTAGCCACAAATACCGGCCTCGGTCATGGCTCTCATTTAGCCCCAGGGTCTGAAGGGCCTCGAGCTAAGAGCATCCACCCAAGGAAAGCGCACACTCTGCTGTTCACCGGTTTGCAACCACCTCATTTTCTTGAAGCCAGAAGAACACTGGGTGACCGACACCTACGGCCGGTCACAGTGTTCTCTGTTCCAGTCACACACTCGTTCTGAGTTTACCCTGAACCTGGACTTTTTCAGGCCTGCCTCACAAAGGAGTAATACACACACACACACACACACACACACACACACACACACACACTTACATGCCCTTCCCTCAGCAAGAATGTTTATTTTGTAATTCTATAGGGCAGTGCGATAAGATGCCTTTCATCAATTTATTAATGCTGGGAGTGTATTTCAATTACCGATGTAAGAGCCAGACTTTGTGTACATAACATGAGCACATTATGTTCTTGGACGTATTATGGCTCTTGCCCCTAGAGTCCATCCAAGGGCAGCAGTCTTGGAGGAGGACTTCAGGGAGAGTGCTTACGGAGCTGGCTATGAGCTAAAGCCTGGTGGACCTACTGTGACATCTCTAAGCTTCACTTCGGTTATTCTAACCTTCCCCGAGGTGTTTGTAAAAGCACCAGCCTAGAAGCAATGAGGCCTGACTTCAGCGCCTCGGCTTGCTGTACAGGACTGGCCAAATTGTTTAAACGGTCTGGGCCTCCGTGTTCCCACCTGTAAAACCAGAGAAGCGTTCTGCCTGCCCACCACCTCGCCCCCGCACCTGAGAGTCAGACACTCAGTACAAGCAGCCTTCACCTTTGATCAGCCCAGAACAACTGCTGACAGGGCTCTGGCCCCAGCAGTTTATAAAGCTGAGACGCGTCCCTGCCAAAGCGCTTGCTGCCGAAGCTGCCGCCCGCCTGTGTGACACCGCCTGTGGAAATGCTCCAAGTGCCAGAAGGCTGACTCATCCCCGTGAACGTTCCTGCCCGTCACTGCCTAACTCTTCTCATCGATGACAGCCGCGACTTCTAGTATTTTTCTGGAGTCAGCTAACCTTTATATGTTATCAGTAATTATCGGTAAGAACCAAGTAAATGGAAAGAGCCTATCTCTGTAAGTGATGGGGATTTCTTCTAGTTCACTTACATTGACTCTGGCGTTTCATGACACAGGCTCTTGTTGTCGGTAAACACTGGTAAGAGATGCAAACCCCCTGAGTTGGCCGACCACCTGGCACAGTGAGGGGACACTGAGCTAGGATTAAAGAGAGCTGGATTCTGGTCCTCAGTCCATCAGTGCCTGTGACCCTGGACCTCTGTTTCCTCATTCCAGTGACGAGACTGAACTGGATCCTAGGTCTGTGGTCTTGTGACATCTCTTAGCTCTCACTCAGCTGGAGCGAGGAGCTTTGCAGAGAATTCAGGACTCCCAAGTCCCTTACATTCAGTGACTTCCAATAGAAAGATGTTATTTCATGCACTAATTTACTCTCCTTCAAGCAATGTGTCTTTTGGAAAAGTTGAAGATTAACCAACTTTTTTGTAACTAGAATCACGTTTGAAGAAGAGGTCAGGATGATGAGGAATTTAAGGAACCCTAAATTAAATCATTTCATAAAATGAAGGTTCATTTTGACATGCAAGTACTATTGCAACTTTTTGTAAGATCATGTGAGTCTGTTTGTTTGAAGACAGAACCATATAAGTGTCCCTGAAAAGTCTTCTAAGCATCGAATCCTCTTTTCCCTTTGACTCACATTACAACTGCAGACACATTTTATATTCACTTTTTATTTAATTGGCCACGACTTTTAATACTTGAGTTTTGCTTCTAGGTACTCTTTTCTGACCTCCTTGACAAGATTTGTAGAAGCTTAAAGATGGTTCTCCTAAAAGGAATTCTTATGTGAACTTTGAATCTGTTTTATAAGGTTGAACAAAAGCCTTTGGTGACCTTTAGATACTTTGAATTTCTTTAAAAATAGATTCTAAGAAGCCCTTGCTTTTCCTTCTTCTTGCACCATCCCCCAGAGAGCATTCACTACAGATTGCCCATTCTGGGCCCCAGGACAGCTGTCTTCCATGGACTGTTGGCAGATACCTACAAATCTCTGCAGGAGACACAGCTCTCTTCCTTGCCCGGAAAGGAGCCGGTAGGCAAGACAATGAGGCAATGAGTGGTTGGAGCTCATCCTCTTCCAGACTCACCAAGAGAAAACAAGTTAACCAAGCCTGTTTCTGATGCTAGCGCATTCTCATAAATACCCACCTGTCGCCAAAAAGGTGACTCACTTTTGCCTTCTTGGGAGTTGCTAGAATTCTAGCTCTTGACAATCTTCTTCTCACTTTTCCTAAATACAAGTGGTCTAATTTACAAGATGATAAAGACTTGCTGATTCAAGTGGAACATTTCAAGTGTCATTAATTTTATTTTTTTAGGATTCATAATTGTGGTGTAATAGACAACACCCTTCTGTTTCTAAGACGTGAATTTCCTGTGAAAATTATTTCAGCTCTTCTTCAGAGCAGAGGGCTGGAGATGGCTCTGGGAAGTCCCTCAGTGGGTTAACCTATTATGAATACATAATGAAAGGGAAATGGAGGTCACCTTTCTGTCCTTATCTCTGTCAGTTAACTGGCAGATGACAAGAGGATACTGTGATGCAATGGGGAAAATGGCAAGTGGTTAGTGGTTGCAACCGTCAAGGACAGGAACCGTGCCTTGTCTTGCCCCGCTCACGTGATGTCATTTAGCGCCCTGTGTGTAATCAGATATTCATCTAATCTTTGCTCCATCGTGTCTAAACCATGTGCTTGTATTTTGTCATTTTGTTACTTTGGTTGGAGAATGTACACCTTCAGCTCTGTCTTGGTCCATGTGTCAGCAGTGTGAGGGAGACAGAAGAAAACTCTAGGCTTACAAATATTGTATTTATAGGCACAAGTGGTCCATACCCACCTTCAGGCTCATATATAAAAGGTCCCTTCCCTTCTTTAGGGTACAATAGCCTTGTAGAATCCCCAAATCCTGGCTAAATGGACGCTGGGCCAACATGCGAGAACCAACCTCTGTGCTGACTGTATTTGAAGAACAGGCTTCAGGAATCTTTAACAAATGGCCTGGTACCTAAATTGACCTCATTTCTTATACACACACACAAACCCCCCCAAAACCAGTAAAACTTGATCGATTGCCCTATGTTTCTGGTAGGCTATGATTCTTGGTTTCAGTTCAGTTAGGGTTCAGTAATTCCGGAAGTAATACGCACTTCCTCTCAGAGCACACATGAATCATGATTCCACTTCAGATCATTGCCAAAGGACAGACAAACCATGGATAAAAATGTTTCTTTCTTCTTTTGTAAATGAACATATCCAGTAAAAGGATTTGGGGTATCTGTACCCCTGAATTAGGGAGAAATACATGTCCCAAGCACAATTATTTGGAGTTTTTGAGGTAATTTGAATATTATATGCTTAGTCAGATAGACTGCTTCCTAAGTCTCAAGAAGTCCCCATCTGGAGTACAAGGGTGTTTCCAAAATCTCATCAAGAAGAATAACGTTCTGGTGTTTGCCAGTGTTCTAGTGTGGTGACTGAGAACAATAGTCGATATCAGTGGTTCTTAAACTTTTTCATCGTAGGAAACTTTTACACTCTTAAAGACTGAGAGCCCTAAGTACAATCCCTGTTTCATACATGTAATTCTTGTCTCTCTAGAAAAATGTATCACTTAATGAGGATGAGAATGATATCTCATGCTAACAGCATATCCCCACAGGAGCCTCCCAGATGCATATTTGAAAGATATTTACAAGAAAAGTCCATTCCCAGTTGCCAAGCAATATGAGAAAATAGGAGCTTGAGTTCCCTGAATTGGGGGCAGTGGTATTAGGTATTAGGAACTTGTTTCCATTGGGGAAATAACACAGAGAGACATAAATGAAGAGCGTGTGGATGGGCCAATATGTAAATAAGCATGAGTTACTCTCCACTATAAATCCCCAGTGATACCAACAATAGTATATGACATACAATATGGTGTTCCATAGCACCAGCTATCCAGCTCTCTGGACAAGAACAAAGATGCAATTGTATAACTTTGCTGGAAAAGTTGGTCAGAGAAGAAATAGCCATATTTACCCCCACAGATGTTATCTTTCCCTTGCAAAGTCTTTGGCGAGGCATTTCACTTCCTGGCCAGTAAACTGCAGAATAGCGAAGTTAGGCATTTGCTGGTGTTTGCTGTTTCAAGGAATACTTGTTCCTAAATCCCTTGGGATTGGCTTCTACTTGGTCCTGTGTAACAGAAAGCATCTTATGGGTCACATAGCCAAAGAGTCAGGAAACCCTTGCTTCCTAGACTCTCACATTGAGAAAATTAGGTAAAGAGTAAGGCATGCATGCAACAACAAGATTTTGGCTAACATTAGTTGGCTCTGAGGAGTGGGACTGTATGGCTGGAGCCCAGAAATTGGCAGAGGGAGGAGATATTTCATAGTATTCCTTTATTCTTTGAATAAATAATTTTATTTTTATTTTTTAAATTTCATTTCTCAGGTTATTTATTTTGAGAGAGAGAAAGCATAAGCAGGGAAGGGTCAGAGAGAGAGAAAGAGTAAGAGAGAAAATCCCAAGCAGGCTCCACACTGTCTAGCCCAACGCAGGGCTAGAATTCAAGAACCGTGAGATCACGACCTGAGCTAAAATCAAGAGTCAGACACTCAACTGACTGAGCCACCCAGGCGCCCCTATTCTTTGAATTTTAAACCACATGAATGTTTCACTGACTCAAAAACAAAACAAGATGGAACAAGCAAACAAATAAAAACTTTGAAAAGTGACCAGGGCTATCTAGCTTTGGATAAACTATCAATGTAATTATTTGTCTTCGTGAACATGGACAACACAGTGCTTGCAAACGGCAAACGTTAGGCAAGCATCCAGCGCAGATAAATTTTATCTCCAGCCCTTGGAAATTTTGCTATCAAAATGCTAGTACCAGCAAATAGAAACCTTGCTTCAGCTTATGTAGCATTTCAAACTTCTGAAGAACTTTGTCTTGTTTTTCCTCTCTCTTTGTCTCAAATTTACCATTGTTCTCTTAGCGTGAAAGGAGAGCGATGAACGATGAACGGTGCACACAATGCTCTCCATTTAGCAAAGGCAGTCCTTCCCTGGCATCTTTACAAAAAGTCTTCATTTTATTGTAACAAGTGTACCTGGTTCTTTTTTATGAAGCTGCCTACACAGGGCTAGTCCGTCTTGCACAAAACCCATGAAATATTTGATGGCACCACCCATGTTCCTCTTAGTCTTTTTTAAACTTCTGATCCTGAGGTTCTTTGGCCAATATGACACGACCCAGCCACCCTCTCTGGACCCACACAGGGCCACTCAAAACAAGGCACTCAGAGTGGAATCTCAAACTCCAGATGCACCTGGCCCGATGTGCCTGAGGGACTCTCAACTCCCCTCGTTCTGGATTATCTGCTTCCAGAAATGCAGACTGACCTGAAATTCATTTTCCTGACAGTTGTGTGACTTCATTCTCACAATGACTTGCCATCAACTAACGCTCTTTTGCCCTTTTGGTGAAAATTGCTGTTCTAACAGCTTTTCTCAGGCTGTTCATTTTTTCAAGCCCGTACACACGACCCTACTTTCTTCTTATTAAGGTTCCTTTAGCCAGATTCCAGCCAGTGACCATCTTGCCAAACCTAGGTTTCAGTGAGTGTTAGTCCTCCCAGTCTTTGTAAGGAACAGGGCCAGGAACCAAGCCCCGTGGAACAATTCTAGAGCCCTCCCTTTGGATCAGAGCTTCCCAAGGGCCTCTTCTTTCATATGTAATTTATTCTGAGGATATTCAAACAGACAGAGAAATAGAATAATACCACAAAGAACACCTATATATCCTCCACCTAGAGTCTGCAGTGGTCAATATTTTGCCACATTCCCTCTATCTACAAATCGCTTTACTGAACCATTTTAAAATAAAGACATCATGACATTTTACCACCGAATAGTTCAGCATGTAGCTCCAAAGTAAAAGAACTTTTAAAAAAAATTATTTTTTTTAATTAAAAAAAATTCTCCTTTAAAGGACAGTTTCTGTTATCACACACAACGAAAAGTGAATAATAATTCCTTATTTTTATCTCCACTCAGTCCATATTCAAGTTCCCCAGTTTGTTCCCAACATGTCTATTATGGCTGGTCTTCTCAAAGCCAAAAAAAATCAGGGAGGACACTTTGCAGTTGTGCTTGTTTTAATCTAAGCGAACTGTACCCCAACTTTCTTTTTCATGACATTGACCTGCTGCAAAGGCCAAGATAATTGTTTTATAAAAAAACCAAAACCTCTTTAAATACCACCCCTCTTCACGTTGTTCGTTTCAACTGCTGCTATCAAGTAAAGGCCATTTACTGAGTAATTATTATTTTTTCTTTTTTGTTCATCAAATTTGTATGTAACGACCTATTAGACCTTCTGATAAGTATGAGATAACATTCTTACCATATTGGGTTGATGCAACTGCAGAGATAAACCCAGAATTGTGATATTTTATAACTGTATAATTTTGGTCAAGTTACTTAACTTCTTTGAGTCCTGGTTTCCTGTGCCACATAATGAGGATAAACGTATCTGTCTTAGTAAAAGCAGCACATGTGCTAAAATTAGGACAGAGAGAAGATTAGCGTGGTTCCTGCATGAGAATGACATGCAAATTTGTGAAGTGTCCCATATTTTTTAAGCTAAGCTCATATGTACATTTATTGGAAATTGAAAAATGTCCCTGCATAAGAGTTTTCTAATTTATATTACCACTACAAATGCATGCATGCGCCTATTACTCTCAGCCTCAACAACGACTGTAATAATTTTTATTTTAAAACTAATTTTAGAGATGAAAAATATCTCTGTGTCGTTGAAATTTTTAGTTCTCTAATTATGAGACTGAACTTGTTTTCATATGCTTAACGGTCCTCATATATATATTTTTGTGATTGTTTAGCTTTTAAACCCATTTTCTATCATGACCCATTAGTTTTTAAAGAATAAGATGTTTAATTATTCAGATGGCAAAAAAAAAAAAATCTTATAAGAAATGATACAATTGTGCTCAAGGTTTTCACTTAGAGTCTCTGACCACAGGAGCAAACACATGTTTTCATT